AGAACAGCAGAGCAAACCCAGAGCAATGAAAGGGAGTTTAAGACTACAAATGCTGTTAGCACAGCACAAAGGAGAAATCCCCCAAATAGTGCTCTGTACCTGAGCAAACAGTTGGTGGCAGCAGGGAAAGCTCTGCCACCATAGGATATAAGGACAAAAGTGCAGCTGTTAGGCTGAGGGTGTGATTCTTTCCTTCCTTCAGTCTCGCAGCAAATGTCGTCAACCTGGAGAGTCAAGCACAGTCTGCCAAGATGCTGAGGGGAGCCAAGCACATGAGACAAGTATCTAGTTTGTCTGGGTAAGTATCTATGTCCTGCAGAGGAGTTCCTGCTGTTGACAGGGACATCGCTGGCCAAGCAGGACTGTGCCTTTCTCTGCTAAAGGAGCTCTCCAGCATCAGAGCAATGAAATACAAAGCTCTGAGGCTGAGGTGACACCTGACACTCTTATCTAAAGTCAGCCAGTCTCACAGAAAAGGGATCTGCAAGGACCCAGAGCTTCCTAGCAATATCAACAGGGCTCCCAGAAAGTATAACTACCTCAGCCAGCTGCAGGCAAGCAGGACTGTGTATCATGTCCAGTTTTACCTCTGGAAGGCTCCTGAAAAGTACCAGAGTCCAAGGGAAGGTATAGATCTTTCACAGCTCAGACTCAGAATATATCTAGCTGGCAAGCCACAGAGCAGGACAGCGGACACTTCTAGTTAGGGCTGACCACATCTGGGACTCCTCTAACCCTGAAAATTAAGCCATGAGCCCATATCCTGACTTACAAGGATAAAATGTTTCATTAACTTGTCACCAGTATTGAACAGCTGCCAGGAGTATCAGATGTGAGAGGGACCAAATCAAAATAATTCACCACAAATGTGATGAAACCTCGCCCTGCTCAGCCAATGCAGCCCATCATAATCTTGTCCTTCCTTTCTCTTATGTGCACAGGACTATACTAACAAAGTTCAGGTAGCTCAACACAACTCCAGAGCAACTCAGGACTCCAGCACGTCACTGGATAAACGCCACTGCAAGTTCTCTGTCTGTCTGGATGTGCTCATCAAGATATCTCAGTGAAGTCTTACAGTAACATCTGAGGACTCAGACAGAATATATCATCCTCGATATCCTTTTCCCCTAGATCAGTAAGAACTATTTCTGGGACTATCAGGAAACGGCACAGGACCTTCAGCTGAAATCCCACACTGGGGTGGAGAGGCACTTCCTATGCCTTTAGGCTACCAGGAAGTATCTGACTTCAAGAAAACAGGTCTCCATCTGAACTGTCACCTCCATCAATTTTAAACACATGTCCCCAGAAAAGCCTGACATCCTATCAACTCACTCACCCCTCATTCATGACCCGAACACAGACACCAGCAGAGGTAACCTGACACTGCTTCAAGACCACCAGGCTGCAGTGAGATCAAATGGCAAGACCCTGAACAGATGGTGAGCCCAGCTGTCCATGAAGCACTGTCTCCTCAGTGTCACGTGGTGACAAAGCAGCAGAGGGAACAGCAATGCTGAGCCTCACAGCATCTGTCAGCATCACCGTCATCTGATACCTGTCAGCATCACCATCCTGAACACAAACACACATGGCCAAAAGTCTATTGAGCTTCTGAAAGACACAGCTCAGCTGCCAACTTCCCACAGTGACACAGACACTGGAAAATTCCACTGCTTTAAAGTGGCTGCGGACAAGGCTTCATCTCAGCACTGGAAAAGCTACGCTTCCTGTTTCAGCAGCTTGCTCATATGGGTCCATAAAAGAGATGGGATGAGGAAGCAATAAATTACGGAACTGGAATATGCAAACACTCGGTATATGATCTAACTTCATTCGCTCAAGGTCAAGGCTGTAATTGACAATAATTTGGTAATAAAACTACTTCAATTTCACAGCCGTAACCTTAAGCTTCGGACCACAACTGTCACACTGCATATTCTGTCCAGAACAAGGAGCACATTCAACTCCAGATGCCTAAAAAGTAAAACCTCTCCTCCTCTCCAAGTGTTCCTATCAAATTGCCAGTCTGCATAAGTGTTAAAAATAACAAATAAAATGACACCAAAAGACAGCAAGACATCAACAGCTGCAGGAAAATGGAAGGGCAGGTTCTTGAAGCATGGAACTGCATTCTGGAATGACAAGAGGCCTCACCTTTGTACTCAGGCGTGAACTCCTTCATTTCTGGGGGCAGAGACTCGTAGAAGCGCTGTTCTCTGGTAATGAGGGGCTTGCAGACAGTGTGGTCGTCATAGCGCATCATGCTGCTGTGGCCACCCACCTGGTGAATGAAAGGCTCCAGCAGGACCCCTCGGTCTCCAGAGCGAGTGGCATTCTTGCCATACTTGCCCACTTCCATGGTTTGACAAACACACATTGCGTTGGGCACCAGTTGCACTCCTGGAGCATGGGGAGAGCCACATGGGCTGGGAGGGATAGCTCAGCAGTGGTCAGGCAGCCACGGTGGGGAAATCCTGGCTATCTGCTTCCTTGAAGTGATCTGCAGAAGCAAAGGAGATTCCTGTTAATAAAGGATCACTTATATTCACTCCCTGTTCGCTTGTGGAAGTTTTAGGTATTTATTTATACCCATATCTGTTCCTCTTCTGTCTTCTGTTTACATCTTTCTTGTTCTGGCATGTTCTTCACCACCTCTTTAGTCCTACACTAATTCGGAGGCAGTCCCATCCAGAGCTTCTCCAATATGACTGACAGCAGACAGGGAAAGGAGGAGATATAGGTATTCTGAGCCTCCCATCTTTAGAAAATATTCTTTTCTCTCCCTTGTACATTTTATTAGTAAGGGAATGTGATAATGGAGCACAAACCACAAGCAGTGGCAGTGACTGACACAGGCAGAACAAACATTTCCAGAATCTGAATTCCACTCCCTGTGCCTCTGCATTTTTAACATCTAAACAACTAAGTAATTCGTGCTCACCTCCTACTCTCACACTGTTTCCTCCTTTAATGACTCGCTTCTCTCCAGGCACTGACATGAAAGACTCTCAGAGTAAGACAGTTATTCTGTCTCTGTGTGCATGCCATAACTGAATGGATTCCACCCAGTTTCTCTCCTTTATTACTCCAAGCCCTTCAGGACAACAACTGTTTCCTGATGCTTTCACAGCACCTACATGCACAACTCCCTGATCTCTAGAGATATTCTGCTAAATCCAAATGAGATTAAAAGTGCTTTAGAGAAAACAGACGCTCTTTTAATGTTTGTGGAGTGCCCAGCACAGCCATGGGATGATGGAAAAGTAAAGCTGCCCAAATTCTCTCCACGTGATTTGCCCTTTCCAGCTAAGACCACAGCTTTTCCTGACACTGCTGGGGAAAAACGTCACAACAATGAGTTACCCAAATGTTGATACAAGAACTAGAGTTTCAAAATACATCAAATTTCCAGTTTGTTAGCACAGCAACAGCCCAGGACAGTAATTTAAGAACTGAGGGATACTGGAGGCCTGAACAAGGGACATGGCTCAGGCTGTTCTTCACCTGGCCACATGATGTCTCTGCAACTACACAATACTGGTGGGGAGAAAGCTCTGGGTAAACAAGGGCTCTTCTGCCTCCCCTCCAGTTCAATCATGTCGGTCATGCGGCTCAAGAGATTCAAAAGGAGGGGTGATACTTCTTAACATGTTTAACCCACTCTAACCCAAAAGGTCTCAGCAATAGGACAATGCTGCTCTCTCCCTGTCCGCACATTCCTGTTCACCCTCTCGCACTGGATTTTGGGATAGTATGAGTGCACGTACATTTGAGTTGAATCATCTCACTGATCCAAAGGAAAACATTTCCTTTTGTGGTTACAAGGCCACACAACCACATTCAGTGTAAGGGTAACAATGTGAATATTTAGCTGGCTTTTAGGGCGGAGGCCAGGGAAAAGGAGGGGAAAAAAAACACAACACAGACAGTTCCTCTCTGTAGCAACTCATATCAAAGACTACTCAAGGTATCCCTCAAAGTCTGTCTCCTAAACTCACTCAGAGCCTAATTCCTACTACAGACAAAAACATGCTGGAGATTTCTCTCCTCCCTCTTATTTGCTTTATCAACAAGAAGAAATTTCAGCAGCAGAGGCTTGCTTACCTCACAGATGTTTTCATTTGGTTAAATGGTAGTTCATATCTGAAAACAAGCAAGGTGCCAGCATCTGCAACAGGTCACAAACACTTCACAGACTTAAATCTCCCCTTGCTGACACAGGTTTGTCTTGGATTCAGTTTCTTTTATTTTGCCAATGACTAAAGCAGAATTTTCAGTTATTCCAAACAATATAGAGGACAACTTTAACTCCACACCTTCCTGTAGTTTAAACTTCACAAGAGTAGTAAGAGATTTATTTGCATGACAACAGTGGTTGCCACACTCTAGAGACATGCCTATGATGCTCAGGTCTGGTATGAGTCCCAGTATTCAGTGAAAGCCAAAGTGTCTCAGGGTCTCAGCTTTGCCAGTGGCAGAAGGAATATCATTATTCATACTTTGGACAAGGGGGATTAGCTAAGGAGCCACATTAGCTGCAGAGTCTTAAATCCTGTAAGGACTGTTTCACACATTCATCCCCTCACTCTACAGAAACAGCGATGCAATGCTTTCCCAGGTACAAGTGAATGTGAGAAAAATACTTTGTGGCAAGCAGTATTTCAGAAACAACATTTTTAAAGAGTAAGATATCTACAAGGCTTGAGAAACAGATACTTTATAGCTCAGATACAGCTGAGTATTCATCATCAAACTAACTCAGAAGTAAAGGGTTATTACTAAACATGGACACTATCCACAAATAGAAGAATCCCAGAGGTTTCAAACAACTCTACAGCAGAAAACTATTTGAGTCCTAAAATATTACTCATCCTTCCTCTGTTAACAAAGGCATGGGTTCAACTATTTTAGCTCGCTTATAAAATTCAGAGTTCTTCCAACCAAATGGTAAAATGCAGTGCATAATCCAAGAAACAGCCTCAGGGAGACCAGTTCATCCAAGCAGATCTTTTGGTATCTTCCAACACCACCACTACAACTCAAAGAGCAATAAAATATCTATGCCAGTTTAGCCTCCCCCCTTCCAACAGACTGATCTATCCTTGGGCGAGACAGATCACCCACTAAGCCAGACTCGGGAGAGGTGGGGGATGAGGTTCAGAAGCAGTTATCCAAAACTACACAAGGACATACCACATCTCATCGTTCATTATCCTCCCCAGTCAGAGACTCTTGCACTGGAAGAGAATTTGCTCTGCCATATTTGAGTCTAGATGCCTATCTGCCAGTGTATCTGCTCCAAATGTGGACTGTATACCTCTTTAGTCAAACACATTTTAGCAGGATGGGCATACAGAGCAGCAGTAAGATGTGTTTTCTTATAGTAATACACAAAATATTTCCAAACAAAAGTCAGGAACACAAATGGCAAGGTAACTCTGCTCTTCCTAGCCGTTAAGTAGGGTAAACCCTGTCCCCAACACCAACATTACGCTCCAGCGGGGAATATGTCTCTCCACAGAAACAGTGTCGTGCTCTTGAAGACACAGTCAGAGACCTCTTACACATCACTGAACCCTGGCTGAAGACTACAGGTGTCTTACCAGACCAGCACCAGAACCAAGGAGAGCCCTGCTTTTGCCAGTTCCCAGCACCAGAGCATGGGAACAAGAGCAGGGATATCCTCTTTGATGGTGTAACTTCAGGTGGAGATACTAGCCTCAGAGATCACCAAATGATGGAAGGTGAGGGCAGAAGGCTGCACTGCAATGGGTGCAAGAATTACTGAAGAGCGCACCACAACACTGATGTTCCTATTCTTTATAAGTCATCTCGTACGGGAACACTGGCAATGCTTCATGACTCACTAGTAAAGCTATTTTCCTAAATATGAAGGAGAAAAAACATTTTAAATGATGATGTATCACACAGTGAGAAAGCTGACTGCACTAAGCATGGCTGACTCGCACCTTCACTGTAAGCAACTTGCACATCCATCTTTCCAGCACCACCTCACTGCACTCCTCAGAATGTGGCCAGCACTCAGGCCCTGAGGTGTTGAAAGCTAAGGCAAATGGTCACTGATGACTCTGGAGACAGGCCACAGGCAAGGGATAAATACAGACCTCAACATCCCAAAGCCAGACTATGCCTTAGCAACCCCAAAGCAGTCAGGAGTAAAGCACAAGGATAGAAACTACTAGGATACTAGAGAAGATGACTACAGTATTTGGCCAATGGGTTCCTGGTGATTGCCTTTGGTGGGCTAGACTCATTAGCAAAGAGAAGTAGCAGCCAGTATCTGTACTGAAAAGCAGGGTGGTTTCTAGTCATACTGGATTGGATGAGCCAACTTTACAGAAGAAAATTCAGTTTTAAGAAAAGAAGTGTCTCCCACTGTGCTAAGAACAACTTCCCAGCCCAAAAGCCGACACACAGGTCTGAGACATGTCTGCCTAGTCAGCAGCAAATGGAGATGAGCCGTGGGACCTGGGCAAAGAACACAACAGTCCAAGACCCTGCACCAACACTCAGGATGTAACCAGAAACATTTGACCATCATGGCATCCAGGAAGCTACAAACCTCCTTAGCCTGCTTAAGCATAAAGCTTTGAACCCTGAGCCTTCCCCCTGCACCTTGTCCAACACTTGAACTACTGAATACAGCCCTTTTTGGACACACTATTCTCCGGCTCTTCAGATCAATGCCAAGTAGGAGAATATAATCTATACACATGTATCATAAGTGATACAGAAGTCTAAAAAAAACAACCTGCAGCTGAGGAAGAGAATGCCAACAGGAAGTCTGGGGGAGGAATTGCAATAAGCAAGGGCATGGAGAGGACAGTAGCCACTAATGGCCACCCTCCACCCTATGCCATGAGCTGATCTTCCTTCACCCATGTTCTTCTTGCCTCAACGACAGGGCACAAATGCACCAACTGCTGAAGTGTGCACAAGCAAAGACCCTGATCTACTCTAGAGACTGACTGAACTTACAGAAAGGAAAACAAAATTAAGCTTGTAGTACAAATCTTTAGGCGTACCCTATGTTTCAGTCTCCTAGAGATCTGAAGCAAGACCATGTGCTGGTTTTAGCAGGGAGAGTTCATTTTCTTCCCAGTAGCTTGTATGGGCCTATGTTTCAGATTTGTACTGAAAACAGTGTTGGTAGCACAGGGACATTTTCATTATTGCTGAGCAGCACTTAAGAGAGTCGAGGCCTTTTCTGCTTCTGACTCCAGCAAGGAGGCTGGGGATACACAAGAAGTTGGGAGGCAACATCCCAACTGAACCAAGGGATATCCTATACCATATGGTGTCATGTGCAGCATACAGAGCTGTAGAAACTAAAAAGAAGAGGGGATGTTTGGAGTG